GGGGGGGGGGGGGGGATGTGCCAGGGTTGTCTCTGGGGGTGGCAGGGCAGTCCCAAATCCACTGGGTGCAGCTGGCAGGGAGCCCAGCCCTGCCCTGTGACCTCCAGCTCCCATTGGGATTGAGAGGATCACACCATCCTGCTGGGAAAAGTGAGTCAGGGCTGAGCCACTGCCAGCCCCTATTCCTGGCCTGCCACCCCAGCCACACTCCCAGCTCCCTGAAGGAGCCTCCTTCCTGGGAAGGAACAAGTGAAATTTGGGAAGGATTATGGATGGAGAGCCACCCACCTCCCCAGCTTGCCCAATCCCCTCCACAACTTGCCCCACCTGCCACAGCCACCTGCCCACCATGTAGGTCTCAATGCATTTTTATTAAATTCTTACAAAACAGAATACAAAATTCTGGCATCAACAATTGTTATAAAGGAAAACTTCAATTCAGCTGTATCAGGTCACCTGGTACATACAGTAAAGTGCTTCTTTTTGTGTGGTTTTTTTTCTTTCTTTTTTTTTTTTGTTTTTGTTTTTTTTTGTCTTTTTTTTTTTTTTTAATATTTTCATTTTTATTTCCCAGCCAGCCCCCAAGCAGAGGCTGCTGTTGCACAAACCAACAGTGCGTTAACGTGACTCTTGTTGAACCAGCTTTGGCAGTCTTCATCAATTGTAAAGTGGAGAAAGTTTCTCCTGGTTTGATAAAAGAAGAGTTAGCTTCACAGTAAACGTTTCTAACCAGTTCTAAGTCGAGTTAGTTGGCTGGAGGAAGGGTGGGGGGAAAGGAGAGGAAGCAAAAACACTTAACATTTCCAGCTTAAAAAAAAAAATAATAATTTTGAAATTGGTTTCCAAGATAGATGCTCTATGGGGGGAAAGCTTGGAAAGAAGAGGAGGAAGAAGGGTGTTGGTGAGAGGGGGTCGCTGGTGCTGGACCACGGGAGCATCTGTCTGGAAACCACCCCGAGAGAGGTGCTGGCAGCGGGGAGGGGTTGTCTGGCCCTGGCACAAGGGTGTCCCCAGCCATCCCTGCCCCACCAGGGTGTCTGTGGGTGCCCAGCGCTGCCACGAGGTTTTCCAGTCGATCCCTGGCTCTAGAGGCATTTAAAGACTCTCCAGCAATGCACAGACCCTGCCATGGGTCACCCCCAAACACCACGCCAGGAGCGCCGGGTCCAAACCAAACCCCACCCAAAATGCGACGCCAAGGCCGGGCTGAGCTCGGATGCTCCCAGCACATCCTCCAAACTCACACAAACTCCCACAGCATCTTCTGGCTGCACATCCCCGGCCAAGGACACCCACGGGACACAGGCAGGGCTCACCCAGGCCTTCCCCAGAGTGTGTGGTGTACTTTATATATATATAGATATAAAAGAGATCGCTCTTATGCATGGGGAAAAAGGGGAAACTCAGTTTGCCAACAAAAGCAGCACGGGGGACAGATAAATTTTGGAGACATCCCCCTGCCATCCCCTTCCCATGTTTTGTTTTTTAAAAAAAGGCTGCAGCGTGCAGCATCAACGATAGCTTCACAATACCAGCTCAAGGCATCGCATTGTACTGTACATCATTCAAGTATTTCTTAATATAAGACAACAAGGAATTATCTACAACTGATAAAACAAAATAAGCTATAAAAAGTAACAATGTACAATCAAGATGGATTTTTTTTTTCTTTCTGTTATAGGAGGCCTCTCCAGGGTGTCCCGGTGCCTGTGGAGGGGGGGGAGGGTCTGCCCTCACCACTGCCTTGCTCCTCCCCACCCAGCATGGTGGGACCAGGGACACACGGGGCAGAGGGAGATCGCAAGTGTGAGGCAGTTTTGGGGGGTGGGATGGGGATGGAGTCACCCTCTCCAGCCCCCCTGGATCAGCAGAAAGGCTGGGAAGGGTGAGAGGAGATGGCCCCTGCCCTAAACTCCATCAACACCCGAGATCATCATCTCCCATGATAACTCACACACACCTCCCTGAAACAAAAAACAACATATATTGCATAGTATTGCTGTCAGCAGTCTTAAAATAAAAGGAGAACTTTCTTTTTTTTTTTTTTCCAGAGACAGCGACTGTCTTCAGCTGAAGACCCAGGGAAGTCTGTTCCCCAGCTCAGAGCTCCCAAACCCTCACCTGTGCACACGATGGGCCGAGGCTGCTTTTGCAAAATATAAAGCTCAAAGCACTGAGTCAGAGGGGACAGGAGGTGGCTGTGAAGGGAGCGCTTCCCTCCCAGCAGGATGGGGGCTGGCAGCGGGTACAGCTTGGTGGCACAAGCCAAAGCAGTGCCTGTGGCAGGGAGCAGGGGTGTCGGGGGATCTGGAGGCACTGGGGGCTGCTGGAGGCCGGTCCAGCCCCGAGCACAGACCCAGAAACCAGCCAAGGGCCTTGTCCCAGCTCCGCATCCCGAGTCCTTCCCACCCCAAAGCAAACCCCAAGGAAAAGATACCATGCGTGCCTGAACACACGTGAACAGGAGTGCACGTGCACCACCACACACACCAGTGCTGACCGCTCAAGACCCTGCTGCCCTGACCCCAAACCTTCCAGCCCCACATCCCGAGCTGTCCCCAGGCTGCTCCTCTGTGCCCTGGCCTTTTGGTGCTACCACCAGCCTGGCTGCTCATCCACTGGCACCCCTGGGGCATTGGGCACCCTCTGTGCCCCCTGACCCTCCTGCCACAGCAGCCTCAGGACCAGCCTGAAGGCACGGCAGGTCTCACTGTCCTGCAGCAGGTCCTGATGCTCTTTATGGGGGTCCTTGCTTTCCACTGAGCACACAATTCCCAGAGAGTGTTTCTGGCTGCTCTACCCACCCTGAACACCTTATCCCCTTGCACCTCCCCAAGGGCACAGCCACCAGCCCTTCCAAAACCCACGGTGCAACACCTGACCTGGCATGAGAGCACAGCCCTGGATGCCCATGAATCCCCCAGGGAGCCACCAGCCGGAGCGTGGGAGGAAAGGAAGACATTTCTCCATGCCCTGTAGAGAAGCACAGCTGGCAGTTTAAAACAAACAGTAATTAAAAAGGAAATGGAAAAAACCAAAAGGGCAAAAAGAAAAAGAAAAGGGGTAAATAGCTTATTCTGGAAGGAGGATGCTGAAGAGAGAGGATGGGTTGGGCGCTGCTCCCTTGCTGGCACCGTCTCTCCCCAGCCCAAGCAGTTCCCTGCACACTGTGTCCCCACTGTGTCCCCCTGGAGCAGAGCTGGGGACACCCCCGAGCACAGCACAGGCTCCCCACACCTCCCACACCCGGGAGGTGCCTCCCAGACCCCCAAGGAAGGGGGTTTTGTGGGATCTGCCCCAATACCAGAGAGAAACCTGCAGCTCTGAGGGGAGGGACGAGGTTAAAACGCAGCTCCCGTTGTTGAAAACGCGACCGAGGGTCTTTTGTTCACAGTATGAAATGAGCTGAAATTGTCAAAGCAGCCGCGGATACAAAGAGTCCTTTGGTGTCAGGGAGGGGGGAAAATGTCAGAGGAGAAACCAAGAGCCGGGAAACAAAAGTCCGTGTGTCTGTCAGATGTCCTTGAGTGTGCCCTGGGTGAAGCAACCTCACACTTGATTTAATACCTTTAAAAAAAAAGATCTTAAACAAACCCTCCCACCCCCAGACCTACAAGATCAGCAAAACCTTGGAAACCAGCCACAGGGACGAGTCCTGATCTTGTCACTAGCCAGAAACAGTGGGGTTGGGGGGGAAAGGGGAAGAAAGAAAGGAGGAGAAGGGGGGACACGGGGTACAGCAGGTGCGAGGGGCACCGCTCAGGCTTGGTCGGCCACCAGGACCAGCGGGGCCACCAGGTGCTGCCCAGAGGCCACTGCCTTGGCCAGGCTGCTCTTCTGCCGCCGCTTGGCCAGCTTGGACTCAGAGGGGGGGGAGAGCTGCATGGCCCGTGAGGTAGCTTTGATGATGATGGGTCGTGCTTCCTCCTCCGCCTCTTCCTCCTCGTCCTCGTCGTGCCGTGTCAGCTGGCGGTTGACAGCGATGGCCTCAGCAGCAAAGGAGGTGAGCTCTTTGGCACTGCTGTTCCTGCAGGGGAGGCATGGGCTCAGAGGGGGTGTGAGGGGCTGGAGGGAGGTCAGGGTCAAATATCCAGGTGTCCCTCCTCACAATACTGCCCATGCCAAACACCAAAAATACGGCCCAAACCCAAAGTGGCAGGGCTGCCCAGACACAGAGTCGTGACAGTGCCCCCAGAAAGCAGAAGGAATGGACAGTACTGCCGAGGAGCGGAGTCACCGTTCAGGGGGCATCCCACACTCACCTCTGCAGGATGATGGGGGTTGGCAGGGTGTTATCCGGGGCACACTGCAACAAAATGAAGCCAGTCAGAGCCAGGACTGTGCAGGCAGGTGTTCCCCACCCCGGCTTTTGGGAGCACAGAGCAGGGAAGGGACATCAACACTCACCCCCTGCACCCAGGGGTGCTCCAGGACCTGGGCTGCACTGAGCCGCTTCTTGGCATCTCTCACCAGCAGCTTGGAAATGAGGTCTTTGGCTCCAAACGAGATGTGCGCCCAGTCCTTGTCAGGAAACTCATACTTCCCCTCCTGGATACTCTCAAAGAGCATGTTCTGGAGCAGGGGGAGAAATAACAGGGGCTCAGCCAGGAGTGCTGCAGGCAAACTGGGGGTGGGTTTGGGCACTGCTGGGGTCCCCCACGCACCTGGCAGGTGTGGCACGCCTCGCCCCGGTCCCAGCCGCAGTCGGAGCCGCAGTGGCCCACAAAGGGGGGGTACCCGCTCAGCATGATGTACAGGATGACACCCAGGCTCCACAGGTCACAGCGCTTGTCGTAGATGGAGGCCTCCTCGTTGAAGGCTTCCACCACCTCTGGGGCCATGTACTCGGCCGAGCCGCACTGCGGGGACAGGCGGGGTGAGCCCCGGAGGGTGGGCACCGATGGGGCAGGGGGGACTGGG